AAGATAAGATTTAAGTTGAAAAGAACGATTATTCAGTCTTTAAGTCTTTATACCCAATCTTTTAAGTCTTTTCGCGTACTAAACTTTATCCACTTGATAAAATTTTAAAACATTAACATTATATTTGGATGAGGCACCTTGAAGTAAGGGGACTCCAAAGTGATGGGATTAGTAAAATCACTTGTTTTGCTAATTTTAGTTAGTGGAATTTAATTGGGTAATTTATTATATTATGAAAAAGAACAAAATATGGCAAGAATTGCCAAGAAAATTTCTTACTTGTTTAAATTCATTTATTTATTTATTTTGGGTTATAGAATCTATAAATTTGTTTAAGTTTAAGGTCAAAGAAAGAAAAAGGGAAAATGACATAACCTGCCCTGGATTCCCCTTTGGAATCTGTGACGAACCCTATAATTGTCCAACATCTAGCACTTGTCAGCACTTTTTACCAACAAAAAAAAAACGCCTTAATCTGTATTTTCAAACTAAGAAATAATACTTATACTGAAAATCCGGCAGAGTCCCTTTGTAACTAGAATGTTTACCAAATTTTTTACCGGTCAGAAAACACAACATACCAAAAATCAATCATCAATCAAAATTGGGTCTCAAATCCTAAATAAAAATTATGCAACATAAGTAGATCACGATAACCGTTCCCGGCATAACATAGCATAACATAAAAAGTGTTTAACCTCATATTAGTTAGTTCAATGACAAGATAGAAAAACCAAAACATGAAATATGTGAATTAATTCTCAATTTTCTCCTGTCATTTAAACAAATTATGAAAAAGACACCTAAACAAATATAGGATCATAAAAATAAAATAAAAAATATTAAATAGATTAAGATGTTATTAGTATGTTTTCATAAGTTGTTCTTCTTGATCATGTAAAAGTTTCAACAAAAAAGCAAGACCGGACCCTAAACATGTTAGTGTAGCACTAATACCACATGTAAGAATACATACAACACTAAAGCCATTAACATATGAAATATATGAATGTAAAATAAATAATCAACTACCTGCAGACGAAGACATGATTGACAAGCGAGGCTTCTATAATCAGTAAACCAAAAGACTCAAGGCTATTGAATATGGTTTAGGACCTTTTATGAGCGTATGTTTATGAGTGCAGGGCCTATACTTTTATACTTATACTAAGCTCTATCTCTATCCAACCTATCATAGACAGAGTAGAGTTCTTAGCCCAGCAAACACTAAAGAGCCCTAGTCTAACTGCATAGACGAGTTACAACATTAGGAATCTACTAGTTTAATTCTTATACAACACTGAGCTAACTTTATAATGTAATAATTAATACTCAATAAGGTTCTTACAGTTTAATCTCCTTGGCATCGTATGTGTAATGTGTGTGTGTGAATAACCCTCTTATAGGGTCATTTTTCAAGTTCATACATACTTTTGGGGACATTTACAATTATATACTCAAACTCACGAAAAACTTACAATTTATCCCATTCGTTACCTAAACCGTCAATGAATCTGTTAAATGCTTGCATGTCAACTATGAAACATATTTTTTAATGACATGGAGTTCTATGTGGACAAAAAATTAATAAACTATTATACAAAATAACTAAAATTATATTAAATAATTAATTTTCATTTAAAAATGAGAAGGAAAAGAAAAATCATTGTCCTCTCCTCCTCCCAACCCCTCGGCCCAACTTACCATACCAAACCCAACACCCAGTCCCTCTATGCTTCCCCGCCGAAACCGCCAGCGATCCAAACTTGCCTATCCTCGTCGGAATCCTCTCTCTGTCTGTCTGTCTGTCTGTCTCTCTCTCTCTCTCTCTCTCTCTCTCTCTCTCTCTCTCTCTCTCTCTCAAATAATGTAAGAACTTCGATTTTTTGTAGAAGAAAAAATCAAGAAAATAACTTCTCAAGGCTCAACTCATGACTCGCCATACCCCACTCAACTTGTGAGGCTTCGACATAGCAAATCCATCCCCACAACTTCATTCGGCAACTGTGGAGTTGCGTCGCTCGTAGGCCCTAGCGCTTTTGTCGTTGCCCCTCTCAGATTGACTGTCCCCAGTCAACAGCGCTCGACACTGTCCACTCCCTTAGACCTAGAAATCTTTGACCTGCAAAACCCAGATGGTTGGGTCGTCGTCGACCTCGAAAAATTCACGACGCACTATAGGGGACGTTCTCAAGACCTCGCTGGAGCTCATGGTGCCCTTGTTCAATTGGGGGAAGGCTGGGAAAAGAGGGAAGGATAATGATTTTTATTTATGGCTTATTATCACAGAACGTCCCTAAGGTTTACGAAACTATCATATTGTATCCTTAATATTTTTTTGTGCCACTCGTGATTCTCAAAGTTAGTATATGCGATCACAAATGGTCCCTACCATTAGGTTCCATCAAAAACTCTGTTAGTTTGCTGACATGGCATATATATATATATATATGTATATATATCACAAGACATCCTTGAGGTTCACACACCTATCACAAATGGTTCCTACGAAATTTTTTATTTTTTTATTTAAAATTCATAAAATTTTGTTTTTCTTTTATAAATTATTTATAAATGAAAAAACCATTTATATAAGGATTTTAATATTGAGGACCATTTAGGAACCCTAAATCCTTAGTTTTTTCATTTTTAAATTTTATGAATTTTAAATTATTTTTTAAAAACTTCATTAGTTTGTTGATGTGGCATATATATAGAGCCCACATCTACAATAATATAGTGTCACATGTATTTAAAATATAATATATATTTTTAAATAATTTAAAATTCATAAAATATTAAAAAAAATTAAAATTTTATGAATTTTAAATGAAAAAATTAAAAAAATTCCCTGGGACCATTTGTGATAAGGCGTGAACCTCAGGGATGTTTTGTGATATATATATATATATGCCACGTCAGCAAACTAACAGAGTTTTTAACGGAACTTAATGGCATGGACCATTTGTGATCACACATACTAACCTTGAGGACCACGAATGACAAAAAAAAAAAAAAAGACATTAAAGATGTAATCTGATAGTTTCGTAAACCTTAGGGATGTTTTGTGATAATAAGTCTTTATTTATTTATTTATTTATAATTTATTTGGAATTGTGCAAGATTGGATTTTTGGTTTGAACCCATCGTGGGATGAGAGATCGCTTTTTTTCATTTTCATTTTCAATTTAAGTTTTTAAACAGTCTCATTCCCATTAGTGTAACTCTAACTCATTCAAATAGTGAATTAATCACTTCCACCAATTTTCACCCAAAAGTTGAAAGAATGGGTGTTTAATTCAGAAATTGGGGATTTTAGGTTGAAATTGATTGAGTTTGAGTATAGGTTGTTGCCGGACATATTGGCATAAATTTTGTAATTGGCAATTTCCAAGTCAAAAACCCCATACAATGTATTTTCTTTAGTTATTGCAAGGCTTTTTATCACAATGGTCCCTGAGGTTTGCCAAATTATCACATTTGGTCCTTTATGTGTTTTTTTTTACATTATTAGTCCTTTATGTTACACCTCACACATCAATTTGGTTCCGCCGTGAAGTTCTGTCAAATTGATGACGTGGCACATATGTGGTGCCCACATATCCAATGAGATCATGCCACGTGGATTTATAAAAAATTATTTTTTAATAAAATAATTTAACATTTTTTTAAGAAAAGAAATGTTTGACATTTAAAAAAATAGAAATTTCAAAAAAATAAGAGAAAATAAATAAATAAACTCAGCCTCCCTCTCCTTCCCCTTCCATCTGCTCCACCCTCCCATTCCGTTCCTTCCTCTTCCATCTCTCTTACCCTCCACCTCTTATCTATCTGTCCCCATCCTCAGCTCTCTCTCCCTACTCTCTTTTCTCCCACAAACCCCCAATCCCCCCATCCCCACCTCCCTCCCTCCCTCTCTCCCTCTTTCTCTCTCACCCTATGTTTTTCTCTCTACCTAGAAAACTCCCAAGCCCAATGCCACCCATACAACCCCATCCCCACCCAAGATCCACACCAACCCCAACCCCACCCAAGACCCATGCCCTAAACACGACCCAAATTCCAGCCCCACCTCCACTCGAGACCTATCCCCATCTCCTACCTACAAGGGCAGAACTAGAATTGTAAACTTAGGGAGCCCAAAGTAGAAAATACAAGTATATAAAATACCTAAGTATTCAATAATTACATGTTTAGAGCTAAATATTTCTAATTTAGTCATGTCTAATTTGTTTTAGGGGGAACTTTAATTTAAATTATAACTGGTTTATTACAAATTTTATATATCATATATAATATAATAGAGGAGAGATAAAACTTTGAGGGGGGCCAAGGCCACTCTAGGCCTAGGAGTGGCTTTGCCACTGCCTTTTTTCTTCAGTTTTTCAGTTTTTCATTTTTTTTTTAAATTTAAACATTGTTTAATCCACTTGGCATCCACGTTAACAATTTAACAGGAATTTTTTACTGAACCTGACAACATTACCAAATTGATATGTGATGTGTAACATAAAGGACTAAAATGTCATAAATAAGTAAGAAAAAGGACCAAAGGTGATAATTTGACAAACCTCAATGACCATTTGTGATCAAATATAAATTTACTTTTTACAAACCTATTTTTGAAAACATAGAATTGTTTATTATAGGTTTTGTCCACGTGGAATCCATGTCATTAAAAAATGGGACTCATGTTTGCCATATCAGCATTTAACAGACCCGCTAACAATAAGGAACATAGGGGGTAAATTGTAGGTTTTTCGTGAATTTGACTATGTAATTGTAAATGTCTCTAAAAGCATATATGAACTTGAAAATTACCCCCTAGTTTGGTGGTCTTTTGTAATTTGACCAAAAATGAACTACTTAATTATTGAGGAAAAAAGGGTCATTTTTCAAAGTTTTTCCTTTGTTAATGGCCAAAAAAGGGTTTTCCTGTAAATTCAAGGGGCTGAGAAACGATAAAGCCTTCAAAAACCATTTACTTACCCTTCAAAAAGCTAAACCCTACACAAGATATAAAGACTCGATTGAAGGGTTTTAGCAGTCTCGGCTTACTCTTACCCTCAGTGTGCTGTTTGCCAGTTTTCTGATGGCGAAGCGTTTGGTTCCACTGTTGAATCGTGTTCTTGTTGAGAGAATTGTCCCTCCATCCAAAACCACTACCGGAATCTTACTCCCTGAGAAGTCCGCCAAGGTATACTTACCATTTTACTCACCCCCTACTTTCTCATTATTGTGTTTGTTTCCTGAGAAACTCGAGGATAATGACATAAAATGAAAATTAGAGTAGTCTGTGGTTTCTGGGATGTGGATCCTCTTTGGAACAGAATTGGGTCGCTGGTGTTTGATTGATACCGGGCTATGGCTGTGGGTTTTTGTTTTCTTGGATTTTAAAGTAGTGGAATGTTAGATAGTTTAGGCTTTTGATTTTTTGCTCTCTCTCACATTTTAATCCTTTTTTAATTACTTTTATGGTAGCAAGGCAAGGGTCTTGTTTTAAATCCACATCGAAACATATATTTCTTAATTGGGGTTTTCCTTAATTAATTTATTTCCGTCTTATACAGAAATTTGGTAGAAAGTAACATGAACTTAGGCCTTTTATTTTATGCAATATGAATGTGGCTTTGCTGTTAAATGAATTCCAGTACGTCTCAATTAGAAGAGTCCAAAAATGATATTTTGGAAGTATAATTTTTCTCCTCAAGGAGAACTAGTAACTGGCATGCATGGATTGAAATATATGTTGTTTTTGCAAAATTGAAAATTTCCTGCTTTACACTTTAGCTGAACTCTGGAAAAGTCATTGCCGTGGGTCCTGGGACTCGTGATAAGGAGGGCAGCTTTATCCCTGCCACTGTGAAAGAAGGAGACACTGTTCTGTTACCAGAGTATGGAGGAACTGAAGTGAAGCTTGGTGATAAAGAGTACGTATATATTTTTCACAGGGCCTTATTGCTTAAGCTTCTTGACATACATTTTCTTTGTCTAAAATCTAGATATAATTTTTCAAGCACTACTAATTTAGCAGATGTGTGTGTCTATGCATATTCACGTAGATACTTACAGATGCGTTTAGTATACATGATGCATTGAGTGCATTTGTGCATGAAAATATAAGAAAACTACAGAGACACATGATCCATTCATGAGTTTGACTGTAGTCTCTGTGATATGGGGTGGAGTCAAGGTACCTCAGCATTTTTATGTAAATTCAGCCTAAGTGCTTCAGTTGACTATTAGCATAAACTGCCTAGGGCATGTAATTTGTAAGTAGTGGTTAAGTAGATAATTTAGCTTATAAGGATTATAATTAACTTGTTGAAAAGATTCCTGTCATGATGCAAATAGTTTTATTGGCACTATATCAAACCAATGCTAATTTGCTAACCTTAAATCAATCTAGATATATTGAAAGCTGAAACTTGGATTTGCAAGCTCTTCATTGAAGCATGGGGGCTTTTATTTTACATATTGTTTTTCACATTTGTAGATAAAATATTCGTAAGGGCAGAACTTTGTACCCTAAAGGAAAACCAGATCTTTGATTTTGCGCTGATGAATTCCCTTCCATTATGAAATGTTAGCCAAACAATGAGAGTGGCATTCTTTTAATTCGATGGTTTTCAGTTATACAAATCTGTTGTGCATAAGTGTGGGTACTGATAAATACTTATGTATTTGTCGTCACATGTATCTACATATTGACATGTCTCTTTTTTCTTATATGCATGATTGCCCATGTATTTTTCTAATGTATGTCTTACGTGCATATATCAATATGCGTGTATCTATCTATATACAACAAATAGCCTTAGGCTCCTCAAGCATGTTAGTTGGGTCATTGATTAGGATTACAATTCAATGAATTCACTCAAGTAGGCATCTTTCTTGTTTCATGTGAAATGGCCCCCATTCTCCCTCTCGCTCAAGTAGGCATCTTTCTTAGCTTGTGTTTTGGCTTCATAGTTCTCGTATGAGCTCAAGCTCAATTCTAGCTCACAGAAGGATGTCAGCTTGAGTTGAGAAATTTTAAGTAATTTTAGCTGTGTTTGAGCTATGGCACTCAGGCATTGTTTGGGATGTTTCAGGAAACTTAGAGCTTACATTCGACTCCATTTGATTAATATACACAAATCAAGCTTGATCTTGTTTTGGGCTTGACTAATTAGCCATAATGTTTTAAAAGTGTTGAATTTTACTTAAATGGAAAACGCACATTGTACCCAAAAGAACAAGTGGAAACTGCAGGTTAAACATGACATCTCTTTATAATCACCTCAAGGTCTCAGGTGTGAGTTAGAATAAGACACCAGCCCCCACATGGTATTATTAGGATGTCTTACCTCAAGTAATATTTGGTGTGCCTTTTCTCAAAGTTATTGTGCATAGGCTTTGGAATGCTTTCAAAGTGATGCCTGATATTTTTTCCAATTGATGCTCATGAAACTATTTTTGCCATTGTAGGTACCACCTATATCGAGATGAGGACATATTGGGAACACTGCACGACTGATTATCAATGGAGTTAAATTTGTCCATGAGTTATCCTGGAGGATTTGAGTTCCATAGCATGTATTTGAGTCTGCCCTTTGTTGATGCCCTACCGTCAGTGCTGCTTATAAATTAGATTAGATGAAAGAAACATGTAAAACTGTTCTGTTATTGGGCAAATAATTTTAATGCAACTAAAACGTCTTTGGTTTGTGTTGGAGTATTACATAAACTCTTTTGAACACATTGAAGAAGTTTAAGGGACTGTTTGGGAATGCTTATGTAGGAAGCATTTATGCTTATAAACGGTTCTTAGTTGCTTTTGTTAGAAGCATCATTTTTTTTATTTTTTTATTTTATGGCTGAGCAGTGGCTTTCCTCCCAGACATGAACTAAATAGTAGCGATATCTCTAGTTGTGACAAATAGGGATGGCAATGGGTCGAATCAAGGGTGGGTTTGCCATAATCTTCCCTATCCCCGTTAAGCTTTTTTCCCTCATCCCCGCCTTCATATCCGCAATATTTATATCTGGGATTCCCCATCCCCACCTTTGTTAGGGATGGTTCCCTGACCAGCCCCGTTATAGGAGAAAAAATCAATATATAACTACTTTGTTGAAATAAAAAAATACTGATGCAAAATAATGAAAATATATATGATATATACTTATAAGACAATATAAGTATGTTTATATATGTCGTGCAGTGTGGCTTAAGATTTGGAGTTAAATTTGTCCATGAGTTATCCAGCGGATGGTATTGAAAGTTAACTAAATAAATAAGTATTGTGGCTTAAGATTTGTATAAATAAATTATATAAGTATATAATATAATAATATAAAACTTAGTCAGTACAATCACTTTAATAGCATATTTATATATACAAAAAAAATTAATATATATACTCTAAAAGGGAAGGGTTCGGGTTGGGGATTAAAATACCATCCCTGCCCCTCCCCGAACACCATACCCAAAAAATTCTCCGTACCCATCCTCACACCCCTCTTTTGTCTTTCATATCTGACCCATTAAGATTGAATCCCTGCAAAGACCCTTACCCGCAAGTAAAATTGCTATCCCTAGACAAAAAGAGCTTCATGAGCTACTAAACTGCTCTTATGGTACCTAGAGAAAACATTCCCATATATTGTCCCCCATCTTAGGAGGACTTCCCTATACCAATGCGAAGATAGTAAAGAAGAACACTGCGATGTATTTTTATTTTTATTTTTTTTTGGTCTGAAAAATGGAATTTCATAAAAAGGCAAACAGCCAAGAGAAGTACACAGCCTATAAAGCAGCTAGGCACAACGAACAACAAGAAATAAAACAGCACAGCTGCATGGAAGGAGAACTAAGAAAAAGACGTAGTCATAGGACAACCGGATACGTCGGGAAGCCCACACAACCGCAAACATTAAGCACTCCTTGGGGGGCATGGTAAACCATCTTTGTTCAGGATATGCATTAGAGAGGATGGGAGTCGGTTGACCCATACTTCCGGGCTCATCCTCGAAATGGCAAGCATTGCCAAATGATCTGCCGCTTGGTTGGCGGTTCTAGGAATCCACTTCCAAACGTAGGTCTGGAAGCAGTTCAAAACATCTCGAACATTACTTAGGACAGGATAGATTTCCCACCTTCCATTGGATAAGGGGCCCTTCAAAGGAGAGATTATTTCCTTGCAATCAGATTCAAAAGTTACTTGACGATAACCCATCTCAGCAGCGAGCTTACAACCTTCAAGACAAGCCTGTGCCTCAGCCTCTGTGGCAGAGTTCGCCACTGATGGGATGGATGTACCCTTGATAGAGTCTCCATGGGTGTTCCTAATTAGGATACCAATGCCAACCCTCTTTGAGTTTGGATTCCATGATGCATCCACGTTAACTTTGACAAAGGGAGAGGCAGGGGGGCTCCAAAGATGTTGCTGGTTGTCATTAGAGAGGGTAGGAGGCTCAATTTGATGTCTGCCATTATCAAGGGAGCCGAGGAATTCATTGATGGCAATAGAGGCAGCGTGGGTAGTTCTAGCTGGTGAAGGGGAGATGTGTTCCAGCACTGCTTTGCACCTATCCTTCCAGATCTGCCAGCAGAAGTACGCGATAACAGTTAGGCATCTTGATCGCTCCTGTGGGGTCTTCCCTTTCTCAATAACATTCCTAAACACTGCGATGTATTTCTACCATCTTAGCAGCCTAAGAGATTTAATTTACAAACATAATTTAAATTACTCAAGTCTTGAGCTCTCAATGAATTCTGTGATCCATCAAACATAGTCTTTTTACTTTTCGTCTAAAGAGATGCAGCTGGTATGGCACAGGCATACCCAGTCAACATATTCCTGTTTAAAAAAGGTCGGATGAATAAATTGCAGCCCCATCCAAATACTTTGTTTCAAATGCGATTAGACACATCGAAAATTCAAAGGCAGTAAAATAGTGAATAAAATATATGCTAATAAACATTACAATCCATCAGTTTTTGTCCTCCGAGACCATGTCCCTTGATATTAGATACATCATAAAAAGTAGTCCAATCTACATAATTTACAATACATTTTACTCGGTCAATCTCCCATCAAATTGTTAGATCTACTCAAGCATGTCAACCAAATTGGAGAAGAGACCCTCACATGGGATCTCTGCTGTACCAGATGGTGGTCTAGATGTACACAATTACCAAGCTTTCAATCAAATTTTCAGCCTAGTAGCAAGGGTGAGACATGTTTGCATCATTTTGTACCTACTACTTCCGAGGAGCATTTTTCCATGGAGAATCACATTAATGCTAGCTATGTTATGTACTTACTACTTCACTATGCAAGGTCTTTATATAACGCCTCTTTTCGTTCCACTAGATAGAATTTACTGAGTCACCACCTTCACTGCTTTCAGTATCACTGCTGCTACTCACGCTCTCGCTTTCATTTCCACTGCCACTTCCACTGCCGCTTTCACTCCCACTACTCTCACTCCCACTACTATCACTAGAGCTTGAAGTCTGCTTCCCTTCCACCTCAGCATTCACTTGAGCTCTAAGGGCTTCTGCAGCATTTGGGACATTATCCACCACATCATCTACATCTACATCAGCAATCTCATCATCCAGATCACCTGGATGAGGTATGTTAATGTCAATGCCAGTGTGAAATTCATTTACAGGAGACTTTCCTTTCCCAGTTGTATCATGCACAACAACAACATCATCATCATCATCATCATCAATGACAACATCTACTTCTTCATCCATCTCATCACTTCTAGGTTCTGCATCAGGAGATGCAGCTGGTGGATTTGGTAAGGAAGGTGGACAATCAAAATCCTTGTCAGTTTCAGATGTTGGGCCTGAGGCTAGAAAGAAGATTATAAAAAGTATCAACATGTTATCTTTTTATAAAAAGCTAGATTAAAAAACTGCAATAATTAAGGCATTTAATGTAAGTCCATCTGTTTAATCATCAAAAGTCAATTCAGAACACCAAAATACCAAAAATAAAATAAAACTACCATTGATTTTTAATGCAGTATATGCAACTACAATTTTATTTTATTTTTATCAACATTTAATTTTACAAATTCAACTTTTCTGTTCAACATCAAATTGAAAATAAAAAGTATAAAAAAGAAGGATGATTTATATAATCACATATTCTCTGAAGGGAGTGTATTTTGCACAGAAAAACGTTTTAAGCTAATAAGAACAACTTTCTCATTAAAAGGCTCCACCTGGCGCAGGATAGCCAAAGAAAGTTGACGGTCATCATGCATCTGTTACTTACATTTATCATCTTATTTCGTGAAAAATAAGTATCATTATGACATTATTAATTGAATTTGAAGAAATCCAGTCATGAAGGTCAAACATTAGAAGATTGTATCATATAATGCAGAATAACAAAATTTCCATAGAACAAACAGGGGTTTAAGAACACATGTACCTAAGCTCTCTGAGTTGTTGATATCAATTCCTTTCACCTCCACCTGTACAATTACATGTAAGCAAGAAGTTTGAATCATCATATAATTGTAAGATTCCTGTAAGGAATGTGCAATTAGAAAGAGATGTTCATGCTATTTAACAAATCCAATTCTTTCACAATTCTATTTAACAAAAGGGAAAAAAAATGCAGCATTCAATACTTCAGGTTATAAGTGAAGCAGAACAGAAGGATATGGGCAACTTTCTCTAGATATGATAATAGCAGTTAGCACACCAAGAAGATTAATTCAGCCCCATAGAAAGCAAAAAGAAAATACGAAGTATAACAAAGACGCAAGATTTCATTTGATTCCATGATGTGCAAAATAATAATATTGAGGGGTATGAGTTTCATAGTGCTACCGCTCCCATTCATAAGGCGGTGATTGCAATTGATTAGTGCAAGCAATAAAGACCGGGCACACAAACCACATGTGCCAGCATAGGCAGATCTCTGATATTCAGTATTCTGGTTGTGGTGGTCAAACATAAATTATATGACGCAAAAATTGGTTTAAATCCCATATATTGCAACCCCTGACCTTAACTCTACTCAGGTTTCATAGATTGTATCACAAGATCAAAACTCTACTGCAAAGTCAATCACCATCCCTGGATATGCAATTCATATGCAATTACACATACAATTATCCCTCTTTTGAGCCAGATCACACTTCAGCCTTCTTTCTTCATTCAACAGATATGAATGATAATAAAATCAATGCAACTTACCGGCATATGAGGAAGAACATCCTTGTTCAAAGACTGAAGCTTTGCTCCTTTCCCACCAGTTGGTGGAGAATAAGATTCCAGTGCTGAAATTGATGTACTCGTGACTGAGGCTGCTGGAGCTGCAGATTCACCAGGCAGCCTTAGATGTCTCAACCGCTTCACTGCTCGGTGCAACCTCTCCAACCGAAAACTCTCACCATCAAAGAACAAAACAGCATCATGCTCCTTGTAATCCTCACTGACACCTTCAAAAGTAACCTTGGGTTTTCCATGTTGGTTGTTGTGAAACTCAACTGTAACCCTGTTGTCCTTGCTCTTGTGGAACGAACCAGGTTGATTCTTATCAATTGAAGCTGGTTTAAATTCATCTGAAAAAAAGAAAAAGAAAAAAAAGTAACAATCTTGGTACAAAGTTTGACATTATGACTCTCTATTGGTAGCAGAGAAGTTCAAATCAAAGAACAACTAAGTGATAGTATAAGTTTCTAATTTCACAAGTTTTGGATGGTGCAAAGTAAAAACAAAACAAGTTTACACAATTAAAGACTTGAAAAGCTTTATATTTAGATTTTCTTTCATAACAGACTAATCA